AGAGCTAGTTCCAGGGCATACAGGATGGTTACACAGAGAAACCCTGTCTCAAAAACAAAAAACAAAACCACTCCCTTATCCCCCCCCCCCAAAAAAAAGAAGAAGACAAAATGATGTACCATAACTTTTGAAATGTTAACAGAAGACATATAGTGATGCTCAACAACAGATTACATGTCCTCCTGAGGTTTATGGACAAATCAATGCTTTGGTTTTACAGGTATGGCATACATTACCAAATTCTGGAAAAAAAGACAGAGGAACTGTCTAAATTAGAAAATGAGCTATATGAAGATTTTGGTTCTCATCTTTTGGAGGTGATCAATTGCCGGATAGTTGATGGGGAGTTGGAAATAATTATAAACAAATGGCATATGAAAATACTAATGCTACATCCCAGACTGCCATTCATCTCCTTAGAAAGAGAATATTAATGGTTACATCCATCTCTATGCTGATATACTCAAATGCCTTCATATACTCAAGGGTTAAACATGGTTGTGTCCCTCCAAAGGTAAACAATGTCTTTTGTTGTTGAATTACTGCCAGACAAAAGAAATGCATAATGTCAAATAGCCCAACTTTATGTCAAAAGTTTGTTGCTAATGCTTTTAAGAAAAAAATAGTTGCTGGGCGGTGGTGGAACACACCTTTAATCCCAGTGTGCAGGAACCGATCTCTGTGAGTTCAAGGCCAGCCTGATCTACAGAGCTAGATCCAGAACAGAGAAATCCTATCTCAAAAAACTAAATAGAAAAAAAAAAAAATCTAACAATGCTTCTATATACTCTGCAAATCCTTTTCAGAAATTTTACCAATGGTTTGATATAACCCACATCACAGGCATTCCTTATAACCCTCAGTGCCAACCATTTTTTTTTTTTTTGAAAAGACTTAATGAACAGCTTAAATATTATTTAAAAATAAAGGAGGGGGGAAGGAAAATATGGCTATTCCTCACAATATTTTATCTTCTATCACATATACTTAATTTTTTTAATTTGAGCAGGATAGCCTCACTGCTGCAAAATGTTTTTGGGTCCCTCTGAAAAACTTGAAGGTCAAAGTCCTTTGAAGAGATGTTATATCAGGTCCATGGAATGGCCTGATCCAGTAATTCACTGGAGCCGAAGCTGTTTGTGTTTTCCCCTCAGAGTGATGAAGAGCCTGTGTGGACACCTGAAAGACTGACTCGACTTGTGCAAGATGGACCAAGAAGTTCCAAAGCCTGTACAGAGGCTACACCCCAAGAACAGGAAGAGAACTAGGCAATGGAGTTGTCGAACCAAGAAAGAGAGTCTTCCTACCCATAATGACTCAGATGAAGAAACTAGTGACTGAGGGAAGAGACTTGGTGAAATCTCAGGGGAAGGGTATGACTGCAGAATTGCTGAGTTTATGTTTATGTCAATGACTCTGAGATCTTGGGTGCCCCCACTACTAATCATATTGTTCCCAAGCAGAGATGGTCACATGATAATTGAAGTATTGATGTTCAGGCCTTCCTTGCATGTTAATATTCACCATTCAACATTCAAAGTTAGATGAATTATCCTCTTCCACTGCTGCACAAAACCTGGCCAAGATTTTTGTTCATTATTTTTCTGACTAATTGGACTCAGTTCATAGGAATGTCACTGGGAATTTTTTTGCTGGTTATACTGGGAAGCATTATAGTCTTGAGATGGATTTGCTACTCCATATCTGCTTTAAATATTGATTTACATACCTTAAAATTAAAAAGTAAAAAAGGTGGAATTGAAGGGAACCATGGAGTTGGCTTGGTCTACCTGCCTTGAGAGGCATTTAAAGTCCATGGCTCCTGGGGTACAATGTGCATTCCAGTTCCTGAGAGACAGTGAAGCTTTCAGGCTACATTGTGTTTCTCAGGTGACCTTGGCCTACTATATAGTGAGTAAAAAAAAAAAAAAAAAATCCTAAATTTTGTTTAGATTTATTTATATTTGTTACTGGTGTTTGGCCTACTTTATGCATGTGTATATGTGCATACCCACAGAGGTCAGGAGAGGGTGTCAGATTCCTTGGAACTTGATTTAACAGACAATTGTGCCTGTCATCATGAAGGTGCTGGGAACTGAACCTGGACTCCCTGCAAGGGCAACAAGCATTCTTAATCACTGAACAATCTTTCTGCCCCCAAAATTAAAAAAAAAAAAAAAGAACTAGCAAAATGGTTTAGCAGGCAAAAATACATGCTGTGCAAGCCTGATGCCCTGAGTTCAGAGCCCCAGAACTCACATGAAGAACAAACTCCTGCAAGTTGGTCTCTGTGTGTCATAGCATGTATATACATACACACAATAATAATATTAAAAATACAATAATAATAATATTAAAATACAACTGAGACTGAAGAAATGGCTCAGTGGTTACAGACAAAGTTTAGTTTCTAACACCTGTGTAGGGTAGCTCATAGGCACCTGTAACACTCACACAGACACATTCACTTACATAGACAAATATTTTTTTTTCTGAGACAGGGCTTCTCTGTGTAGCCCTGGCTGTCCTGGAACTCTCTCTGTAGGCCAGGCTGGCCTCATACACAGAGATCTGTCTGCATCTGCCTCCTGAATGCAAATAAATGTTTTTAAAAAGTAATTAAAAATCAATACATAAAATTATAAATAAATCTCAAGAATATCAATACACATATAAAGCATTTGAGCTATGGTAGGGAGGAGTTAAATACAGAGTTATCCCATATCTCAGTAATTCAATTCCTAGGTATAAACACAAGTGGAAAAAATGTTTACAAAAAGCTTGAATACAAATGTTCATAACAATATTATCCATAATAGCTAAAATGAGGAAATCCAAATGTCCCTTAATTGATTCATAGACATAAGATGGTATATCTGTGCAGTGGGGATTTTAAAAAAGATTTGTTTATTCTTATTCATTTATTTGTACATACAGTGTTCTGTTTGCATATATATTCCTGCACACCAGAGAGGGCACCAGTTCACATTATAGATGGTTGTGAGCCACTATGAGATTGCTGGGAGTTCACTCATGACTTCCGGAAGAACAGTCAGTGCTCTCCACCCCTTTTATAATTTTTATTTTTACATGCATTGGTGTTTTGCCATGGGTGTTGGTTGAGTTACAAACAGTTGTGAACTGCCATGTGGGGGCTGGGAATTGAAACTGGATCCTGTGGAAGAGCAGCCAGTGCTCTTAACCGCTGAGCCATCTCTCCAGACCCCAATGGGATATTATTAAACTATAAAAAGAAATGTTTTGAGGAATGCTATCCATATCACATTATCCTAAGTGAAAGCACCAGACACAAAAGACAGATATGATTCCATTTATATTACATAACTATAATAAGTAAATCTATGTAAGAAAGAAATTAAGTATTTGCTAGGGCTTGAGGTCAAAGGTAGATAGTAATTACTTAATTATTCAAGGGTGTAGGGATTTATTTTTGGTAGGGATTTTTAGGGGGCTATAAAGAGTTTAGAGCTGGGCTGTGGTGGCACATGCCTCTGAGTTCCAGGACAGCCAGGGTTACACAGAGAAACCCTTTCTCAGAAAAAAACAAAAAACAAACAAAAACAAAAAACAAAAAAACTTCCCCCACTACCGGGGGAAAAAAAAAAACCATAAATAGAAAGACCCCTAATGACTGTTGTTGCCTGTTTTGTTTTTGAGACAAAGTTTCAAGTATCACAGGCTGGCATTACACCCTACCTGCTAATGACTTTCTGATTCAGAACAAAGGCAAGGAAGGGTGCTGGAAAAGCAGGGCTATTTGGACAGAGGAGTTCAGGGAAGGTGGCTGCAGATGGATGTTCAAACTAGCTTCCTGTCAGACAAGCTATACATTAACTTTTCTTTCACTTATATACTGAACACATACAATGTATCATACTTCTACTTACTATCTTATTTCATCTTCACACTACTTCATTTAAAAAATTGTATTGCATTTATTTTGTATGTGTGCACATGTGTGTGTGTTTGTTCCATAAGCTTGTATGGATGTCTGAGGACAATTTTCAGGAGTTGGTTCTTTCCTTTCACTATGTAGGATCCAGGGATGGGAACTCTGGTTAGTGGGCTTGACAGTTGTTTACCTGAGCCATCTTGCAGCCATTTGATCCTCCTACCTCCACCTCTGAAATGCTGGGATTATAGGTATGCACCACTAAATCCAGTTTATGTGGTGCTGGGGATTGAATACATGGCTTTGCACATGGCAGGCCAGCACTCATCAACTGAGCTACAGCCCCTGTCCCCCTACCCAACATCACTTCGTTTTTAAGATGTTTCTAATTCTCGTTGTTACTTTCAAAAACATTGATGGATTCATTTAAAATTCTTAGCAAATCTCGTTTCAGTTGTCTACTGATGTCTCAGGAGGTGATGGAGGTATGCACACTCGTTTTCTGAGTGCAATCCTGCTATTCTGTGAGTGAGACCTCAATAACTAGACAGGCCTGGTTTCTAAACAGGTCCATTCCTTTGCTCTTAGCTAGATCCTAGGAGAAAACAGACACCAAAAGGATGAAAACATAGCTTTGACCAAGACCAGGGAAGGGAGGAGGCTATGAACAGAAAAATAAATAAGATACAAAGTAACAAGGTCCTGATTAGAGGACTGCCCAAACATCACCCCAACTTGTTGAGGTTAGCAAATGTGTCCTGGAGAAAGGCAGGACATTTGCACCAACCCATCCAGAACAGTACAGGTTCTGAAGGTGCAGCTGAGGCAGAATCCTCGTTGGGATCAAGCCTTATAATAGATCATTGCTCAGATCTACCTTAGAGATTCAGAGGAAAGTATGTGAGAGGAGTGGCTTAGACCAGCAAGAACAGTGGAGACTGAGGGTCTCGGAGTGGCTGCTGACAAGCCACAGGGACCGACAGGTATCCCAAAAGGGTTTTCCAGCTCCGTAAGTGTAAGCTGGGTGGCCAGAGAGCCTTCCCATCATTGCCCTCAGACTTGAGCTAAACAAGCGTAGAACAGTTACCATGTCATCCTTGGGCCTTCCCTCTGATTGGCCGGAGCTTCCGTAGCCCGAGTCTCCGCGCTCCAAGGAAAGGGGCGGAGTCTCAGCACAACGTCACCGCTGTTTGGTGCTCACCATTCTAGCCACTCCCCAGTCCTCTTCGAGGGGCCCTGTGTGACGTCGCGACTCTCTTATCAGCCAACCGTCGCGGCACAGTGGGTGGGACTCCACGTCCCTCCCCATCGTCCCTCCTTTTTTTTTTTTTTTTTCCTTCCCACCCAATTCCTCACGCCCCTCCTCTTCCCCTCTGCTCCTTCTCAGAGACCGCCTTCACGTTCGGTTTCAAAAGGCGCGTTGCCCAATGAGTAACGGGGTAAGCCTCGAGTGGCGGACCAGCCTGCCAATGCCCGGCCGGCGAGGGCGGAGCGCCCGGGGCTGGACTCTGACGGTGGACGGCGTGTGACGCAGTCGGGCCTCTGCGCGCTGCGCCCGGAGCGGCGGTCGGTGGCGGCGGCGGCGACGGTTTCCTGGTGGCCGCGCGCTGCTCTGTGAGCGGCGGGTGGTAGACGAACCTGGGCCCTCACCCCAGACACACCACGGTAAGTCGGGAGCGCCCTGGAGCCGGCCGGGCGTCCTCCTCTTTGGACCGGCATCTGCGCGGGACGCCCCGGGCCCTTTGAGCTGCCCAGTCTCGTGCCGGGCGCGCTCCTTCGGGCCTGCGTGAGGGGGCGGGGCCCGCGGCCCTGCGGCTTGGCTCGGGAGGCCCTGGTGGGGGGGGTCCACACGCGTGGGGCGTAGGCCAGGGGGTCTCCGGTGGCAGCCCACGCTGAGGGAACCTCGTTGGCTCCGGTGCTACTCATTCATTCGCCGGGCAGAGGTGAGCAGGCCGCGGTAGACTGGCCCTTGCAGGGATGGTGCCTTGGGGACTCTGAGGTTCCCCCCATCACTTCTTTGACCATTCTACAGGACGCGTTTTGTCTAGGGTTAGCCCCTTGAGTGAGTCGGAAGTGCGTTAGCTTTTTAAGACAATGACTGGCGATTAGAGGGGTCTGGTCAACCGAATGAAAGGTTCTTTTCTGTTCTGCCGCATGCACCGTGTAAACCGAAGTGAGAAAGATTGGATTTTTGAATTAATGCCATAGGCGTTTAAGAAATTTGTCAGTGCCCCTATTCTGCGTCACTTGCAGAGGTTTTGTAAGTGGGAGAGGACTCAGTAATGTCAGATGTCTTGACTAAAGTCTAGAGTTTTTATACTATTCTACCCTCCCTGTATGTTCCAGTTTCTCATTATTGGCTATTTTCTATTTGGTAGGAGGGAAAGACACGGACATTTCACATAGTGTTCAAAACATTTCCAGTTTAGTTGCTACCTTTTTTGCACATATATATTAAGACAATAAAGCTTTATTAGTAGTACTTGATGTAGACTTTTTCTTTTTTGAGACAAGATCTCACTCAAATCCTGGTTGAGGTAGGTTTGTCATGAAATCAAAGAAACCACTTGCCTCTACCTCCCCTCCCTGGTGCTGGTTAAAGGCTTTGCGGTTACACTCAACCCTAACATAGACTTTAGAGAACTAAACTTAAAAAATAGTTAAAGTAGCCTTTCATCCCAGCACTTGAGAGGCAAAGGCAGGCAGCTCTCTGAGTTCAAGGCTAGCTTAGCCTACATACTGAATTTCAGGACAGCCAGAGCTGCACATAGAGAGCCTGCCCTAAAAACTCAAGTGTTGGAGGTGAGTAAAAATCAATATAGAGGTTACTGGAGAGACGGCTCAGCCGTTAAGAGCACTGACTGCTCTTCCAGAGCTGTGTTCAATTCCCAGTACCCATATGGCAACTAACTGTAAGTCCAAGATCAGATACTCTTACACAGACATAGATACAGGCAAAGCATCAATTCATATAAAATAACAAATGATTTTAAAATATCAATAAAGATGCTATGGTGCAAGCCTGTAATGTCACCAGTTATGGAAGTTGAGGTTCGAGAATTAGAGCCTACGAGTTTGAAGCCAGCCTGGGCAACATAGAAGATCAATTAAGAATTGTGGAGAGCTGGAGAGTAGGCTTCATGATTAAGAGCATTGTTGTTCTTGGAGAGTACTGGGGTTCAATTCCCAGCATCTAATGGAGGTTCACAATTGTCTGTAACCTTGGAGCACTAGGCACACATGTGGTGTATTTGAGTTCAAGGCCAGCCTGGTCTACAGAGTGAATTCCAGAACAGCCAGAGCTGTTACACAGAGAAATCCCAATCTCAAAAACGTGTGTGTGTGTGTGTGTGTGTGTGTGTGTGTGTGTGTGAGAGAGAGAGAGAGAGAGAGAGAGATGTAAACCTTAGTAGAAGCCAGGTATTAAGCATTTTCTGAGAATTTGATGTATTGTGTTTGAAATTGACCTAATCATTTAGTATGAACTCACAGCAAGATATCTCAGCTACTACAGCTAATACTTTTTATATTGAGATTTTTTTAATTGCTGCTCTCCTGAGTTGTAGATGATGTAACAGCCTTCTTCCTCTCCCTATTAGATACTGATTAACACCTCCTCCCAAAGTTGCAACTACCAAGAAAGTCCCTGATTGAGATCAGGGCTGAGTGAAAATATTCCCAACATTTCAGTAAAACCATACCCTTACTTTGCTTGTAAAGTCAGTTAATAAATTATCTAATAACTCCCGCCCCCTTTTTTTTTTTTGGAGACAAGATTTTTGGTATGTAGCTCCAGGCAGATTTTAAACTCCTAATCCTCCTGCCTTTCCTCCCAAGTACAGGGTGGTATGCCCTGCTTTCCATGAAATTTAAAATTGTCAAGTACTGCAATTGGAAACTGTAAAGCCAAGTCATAGACCAGCTTTCCTTTGGGTTCACCTTTCATATCTGGTAGATTATCCTCCATATGACAAATCTAGATTTTCTTTTTGTGGAAGAGGTAAAAGAACTTGTAGTTGAATTCATATATTAAATTTAGTGCTATGAGCCAGGTAATGGCAGCACACGCCTTTAATCTCAGCACTTGGGAGACAGAGGCAGGGGAATCTCTGTGAGTTCAAGGCCAGCAAGGTCTACAGAGCTTGTTCCAGGATAGCTAGGGTTGTTACACAAAGAAACCCTGTCTTGAAAAAACCAAAAAAAAAAAAAAAAAAAAAAAAAAAAAAATGTAACCTTTGACCTTTGTGGATTTGTTTTTGTGGGCTTTGTTTTTTTGAGACAAGGTTGCTCTGGGTAGCCCCAGCTGTCCTAGAACTCACTCTGTAGATCTGGCTGACCTCTGCTTCACAAGTGATGAGATTAAAGATGTGTGCTGCCAACTCCCAGCTGTATTTTAAAAATAGTTTTATGGAGCTGGAGGATGTATTAGTTGTTGATTGATTGCCTAGCATGCTTGAAGATCAAGGTTCAATCTCCAGCACACAATAAGTCAGGCATAATGAATGACGTGTGCCTAAAATCCCTGGATTTAGGCCAACAGTTCTCAACCTGTGAGTTGTGACCCCTTTGACAAACCTTTATCTCCAAAAATTATTTACAGTACAACTTATAACAGTAGCTATGAAAATAAATTTATGGTTGGGGGTCACCACAACATGAGGAACTTTATTAATGGTAGCATTAGGAAGGTTGAAAAACATTGATCTAAGCAGTAGAGGTAGGAGGCTCTACATAGTGAGTTCTAGCTCATGTATATTCCTCCTGTGTTTGTGTGTCTGTGTATGTGTGCAGTTAGCTAAGTCTTTAAAACTGTAAGATGAAGATCAGGATTAGCAGGGTAGCTAGATTGAAGGATGTGAAACTGAAGGTGTGCAGATAAATTAGGTTATGGCAGTAGTTTAAGATAGCACCTCTCACACTTGGTGGTTCCTACACTTCTTAAAAGTTTGAAAATTAAGTGTTCTAAAACTAGTGAGATAGTTCAGTAGGTAAAGGGCTTGGAACACAAGTCCAGGAACCTGAATTCCTTACCTGTAACCCACATAAGCCTGGAAAGAAGAGAACTACTCCAGTTATCCTTTGACCTCCCCATGTACCTCATGGCATACACTCAAACAATAATAAAAAATAACATTTTTAAAATTATGAGCTAGGGTTGTTATACAGACTCTGTCTTGAAAAACCAAAAAAAAATTAAAATTGAGATCTGTTGTTATGGCTCATGTCTGTAATCCCAGAACTTGATTGTTGATTGCTAGGAGTTGAAGAACAGCCTGAACTGCTACAGTGTGAGACTATCTTTAAAAATAAGTAAGTGGGGACTAGAGAGGTAGCAGTTAAGAACATGTACTCTTGTTGCAGAGGGCCTGAGTACAGTTCCTAGCATCGATTTTAGGCATCTCACAGCTGCCTGTAACTGGAGCTACAAGGGATCCAGTGCCCTCTTTCTGGTCACAGTGGGTACTGCACTCACATGCACATACATACACATACATACATACATACATACATACATACATACATACACACACACACACATTCATACATACATACATACATACATAGTTAATTTAAAATAAAATAGAAGTGACTGTTTAAAATAAATAAATGGAGACATAGTGGTTCATACCTTTAAACTCAGCACTTTAGGCAAGTATATCAAAGCCAGCCAGAACTAAGTAGTAAGACCCTGTCTGAAAAATAAAATGCAAATTGAACATAATAATTGAAGAATTCAGTGAGGAAGCTGACTTAATAAAAGATTATTGGATACACTAGTCATCTTTTATGTTCCAACAGTTGACAAGGTTATTTTACGTAAGTTTGTGAGAAATACTCATCCTTATATAGATAAGTAGCTAAAAAAGAAAGGATTTTGGGGGGGGGGGTGTCAAGACGTTTCTCTGTATAGACTTGGCTGTCCTGGAACTCACTCTTTAGACTAGACTGATATTTGTATTCTCCATTGACACTGTACTAACTTGTTAAAGGTTTGTTAAACTACACATTTGGGAACTATTATCATTAAATTTATGAGCTGTGTTATACTGAAATTCATCAGTTCATCTTGTATGCTGTGTCATTACTCATGCATGATTTTATAACATCAGTGTTGATTTGGAAATTATTGGTTCACTGAGTTATTAATTTTGACAGATCAAATATTACAGTTGTTACTATATTAATCCACCTCAGTATTCCCTTAGGTAGTTAAGCCAGTGTGTGATGGCACAGGCCATCAT